CCCGTGGCCTTGGTGTTATCAGCACCGCACTCTACCAAGTGAGCCACAGGCCGGCCCAGAACCAAGGCTCTTTGGAGAAAGGCCTGATTCTAGGCCTGGGCCGTGGAAAACACAAGACGAGCCTGGATTGTCTTGTGCCAAAAGGCAGAGGAAGCTGAAAGGGTGAGCAGGACGGCTCAGAAGCACCCAGGAGCAACTTGGATGCACTCCCTGTGGCCCCCTAATAATGAGTAATGACAACTGACTTAGCATGGGCTACCATAATAAAACACCACAGAATGGTGGCTTACACAACAGAAATTTATTTTTTCACAGTTCTGGAAGTCCAAGATCAAGGTACCAGAAAATTCCAGAAGCCTCTCTTGCTGTCTCCTTTCTAGGTGTGTCCTTACATGACCTTTCCTCCATGCTCCTGCAGAGACGTCAAGTGATCTCTTCCTCTTCCTATAATGGCACTAATCCCCTCATGAAGGCCCCACCCTCATGACCTAATCTAATCCTAATTACCTCCCAGAGGCCCCATCTTCAAATACCATCATGTCAGGAGTTAGGGCTTCAAAATATGAATTTTGGGGGACACAAAGATTCAATCCACAGCAATGGTACTAACAAACTTTATTGAATAAAATAAGGATCCATACTAATATAAAAAAATAAATAATTTGATGAGGTTTGGGAAATTTACATAAAGTGCCAAAGTACTTCCTTACAAAACACTTATTTATTTTGTATAGAAAAAAGAGTAACTTCACAGTGGAGAAGGTTGGCAGACACCAGCTTCGTCAACTGAGAAAGGTTAACATCCCCAGTAACAGGACAAAATGAAGTCATGCACTACCTGAAAAAATGCAGTCAAAACCCAAGAATTCTTCTATGATATTGCTGCTAATGATGTATAACCTGAAACTATAATTACAAACACCAGATGAACCATAAGTGTAGAAACATTCTACAAGGTAACTGTAATCTTTAAAGTGTCATGGTCATGAAGCCAAGGAAAGGCTGAGAAACTGCTACAGACTGAAAGAGACTAAAAGGCACTACTGTGAAATATAATGCTCGATTCTGGACTGGAGCCCTTTGCTATAAGGGCATTATTGGGACAATTGGTGAAATGTAAGTGGGATCTGTCTTAGTCCGTTTCTGTTGCTTATAACAAAATACTTGAAACTGGGTGCTTTATAAAGAAAATGAAATTTATTGCTTATAATCTCTGAGGCTGGGATGTCCAGAGTCCATCTCGTGGTGGCAACAGTGAACCAGGGGTCTCACATTGCAAGATGGTGGAAGCAGAGAGAGCAAAAGGCAGACTC